CGCGCACGCAGGCACATGCGCAAGAACAAACTACACCACGGTCGCCCCAACGGCACACGCCACGTTCGAGGATACCAGTAGCGACACGTCGTTTGAGCGCGGGCTCAGACTCGAACTCGTCGACACGGTCCGTCAAATACACGCCAACCCGCGCAATGAATCACAGCAACCGCGCCTCGCCGACGAGAATGGACAGGGTTCTGGCTGCGGCGGCAGGCGCTCCAGTCTCCTCCCGAGGCACAGACCAGTCAACGCTCCCCGCATTAGCTTACCGTGGATATCGCGAGAGAGGGAAGTCGCCCTTGGGAGTGAGAAGCGGACCAAGTGTGTCTGCCGTCGTGAACGCCCCGCCTCCACCAACGTCGCCCCGCTTGCGCAACTCGAGAGAAAGACAGCCGCTCCAACCTTCGCCCGCATCCCGCTCGACGAGTACCGGCCCCCATGGTGAGCAGGAATATTTTCCACTTGCAAGTAGCTTCGATACGCCGCAAGAGCAACCTGCGGGGCTGCCCGGTGTTGCTGAAACCGAGCAATCTCATGGTACCCGTGAGCAGACGCAGCGCATTTCGCGGGATGAGCACTCGTCACCCTTGTCAGAGCAACAACATCTGAGCCTCCAGACGTCTAGTCTGTCTGTACCACTGCTCGAGCAACCAGCGTCAGCCATGACCGATTTTGACGAATCGCCCGTACTGGGGCTGCCAGGAAGCTTTGTTCTTACGCCGCCGACGGCGCATCAGGAGTCGGAGCACCAGCTCTTGCAACCACATATTTTCCACCCTCCACCACAGAGGCCCGCTCCTCAATCACCTGAGATGGAGAAGTCAGAACTAGGTGTTAGGGAATCAATACCAATCATGCTTAGCGAAGAGGAGCCACCAGAACCATGGGAACCCGATTCGGGGAGCTTCAGCGCAGGCCTCAAGGCTTTGGCGTTTGGGTACAACTCTGAGCAAGCACACGATGCTAGAGACATGCCATCCATGTCTCGCCACGATACGAAAGGATCGCTAGGCGATTCGGCCCCAAAACGGGACACATTGTATCCGGATGACTCCGCAAGCGTTGCTCCTTACCAAACACTTGGCTCGCTGACGCTAAATACCGAGACTTACAGCGTCGTCAACTCTGTTTTAAACATGTACCATCAGTCTCCCGTTATTTCCCCGGAGTTAGCCTCGGTATCGAGAGAAAGGGTGCAACAGGTCTCGCCCGTCATTGCACAACACAAAGATTGGGCATCAAAAGAGTCTACAGAGACATATCTCGCTCGATTGCTGAGTGATGCTAATGGTTCGAAATACGACAAGACGAGGCGCGAGCCCGAAAGAGTAGCGTCCCCATCACGCCCAGATTCGTACACACCACAGCTACAGCAAGGTACACCAGAGTCTCATGTCGGCGGGACAGCGATCATTTACCCATCGTCCTCGCGACGCTATTCACGGGAATCGGCAGGCTCTACCACCACAACCATCCAAGAAGATGCGTCTCATTCCGGCAGCTCTTCCGGCGACCCTTCTCACAATGCATTATCACGAACCTCAACAGATGAGCATAAGTCGGTAGCATCCAACCGCATTGAACTTCCACAACTTGCATGGACCAATGGCGGACTTGGACTTGACCTACAACACAGTATGCCGCATTCACTCCCAGCTCCTCCCCGTCCCAACTACTCACCACCGCCTCCCCCTGTGAACCCATCTATTGATCAACAACTCTCCTCTCGACCTAACCCGTACAACTCTACGCCGCAACAACAGCAACAACTTTCACGATCCATGCTCCACGACGACAAATTCGAAATGCACCCCGCTCGGTCACGTACTCCTGTCCTTCATGTACACGAACAAAGCCTCGAGGACCGATACGGTACTCCACAACCTATCGAGTCTACTGTTGAGATACCATGTGAAGCCGAGCAAGGCGAAAACGGCCAGCCTGACCCTGCCAAGCAAGCTTTAATAAAGCGATATCGCACCTTGCAAGAGCTGCTTCACACTGAGCATCAGTTCTGTATAGACATGATGATTGCACACAACATCTTCGAGGCGACCGCGCAAAACCTGATGAGTGAAAAGGAAAAGAGGTTATTGTTCAGCAATTGCAAAGAACTGGAAAAGTTCTCTCTGTCGCTATTTCGTGCCTTCAAGAAGGCCGCGAAGCCTATTGTCAACTACGAGATATCACCTCCAACTGGCCCCTGGAACCGCGACTCCTCTGACGGTAAATCGTATGATTCTGGAGAATCACCAATGCATGCTCGACGGCCATCTGAGGACTCTCCGGATCAGTTCGAGAACTGCACTCTGGAGAACGATCGATTGACCACGATTGGCCAAGTTTTCTTGGACAATAAAGAGAAGATGGAACGACTCTACACAACATACTTCCTTAATCAGGATAATGCCAGCGCTTATATCAAGAAGAACCACGGCAACGAGACCTTATCTGGGTGGGTCACTGCTTGCTTTGAGCAAGTAGAAAACATGACCCAAGCGTGGGATCTGGACTCTCTATTGTTGAAGCCTTGTCAGCGCCTGTTGAAGTATCCGCTGATTCTGCAGTCCTTGCAAGAGATTACAGACCCTGACCATCCCGATCTGCCAAAGATCAAAGAAGCCTATGAGGAACTAAGAGCAATGAGTCAGCGTATCAACCAGGCCAAGGCGCGTTCTGATACTTTCCGCGCCGCCGCTTCTGAAGGCAAGAAGGAGAAGAAAAGCGGTCTTGGCAAGACTTTTGTCAAGGCCTTCATCCCCAAGGTTGACAAGAGCAAGGCATATGATGAGGCCGACAAGACTTTCAAAGACCAGGATTACAAATCGAAAGAGCAGAAGTTTGGAGGGCACTTCTTCCAACTTCAGATCGTTATTCGTGACTTCGAACAGTACCTTGATTCGATTACGGAGCACTATCTTCAACTCAACATTGTGTTTTTGGGCTTCATCACTGTCTGCGAAGTGGCGCCATCTGTGTATCCAGAGATCGAGAGCACGTGGCGAAAATGGGCTATGGCTCATTTCGAGCTGCAGAATAAGGCATTAGAAGATCACGTAAGTATTAGAAGATCGTATCATCAATATTCAGCTAACTGTGTCACAGAAAGCTGCCGTTCGAAGCCGCGTTCTGAAGCCTGTTGGTGACCTCTGGGAAATGTGGGTCTCTTATCAGAAAACCATCGAGCAACGCAAAAAATACCTGCTGTACTACGTCAAGCACAAGCAAGCACTTGATCGCGGCGAAAAGATTGACCCGGACATAGAGGAGTCATCCAAAAAGTTCAGTACAATTAACGACACTCTCAAGCATGAGCTACCTCTTCTCTACGAAAGAACAAAGGGCCTCATGCGCACGCTCATGACTCTGTTCATGTGTTTGCAAAAGGATTGGTACAAGACTTGCTCGAAGAAGATTCTTCCGCTACTTGAGAGCGAACCACAGCACACGACGTCCCTTCGTTACGACCTCGAATCCTACGTTGAGCGTTTCCACTCAGACTACAAACCGATGCAGGATCTCGCGAACAGATTGGGCATCATCAACAGGAATCTCCTGGTTGATATCTCCAACATGACGTCTCCTGTTCCGACGCTCTCTTCTGATGGCGGCGCATCGTCTCGTAACTCATCGTCGCGTCGTACTGAATCTATCGGGAGCGAGGCATCAATGCTCGACTCAAAGACCCGCAATAGCGGCGGTTATGCACCCCGATCACATCCTCGCAGTTTCGATAACCCGCCACGCTCTTCCCCTGCAGGACCAGCATATCCTTCTCTCTATCCACCCAACGCATCAGGTCGGGCTGGCCCTGGACCTACATCGTTACGGGAAGCCCGTGCACTCAGTCCTACATCTGATAATAGTGACGCCACCATAGTTCGCAAAGAGCGGCGCAACACTGGTCCTTCCCGCAACAATCACAACTACCTGGGTCTCGATGGCGCGGTAGACATCGAGCACTCACCGCTGGGAACCAACGCATTCGATTTCCCACCTCAACTTGGTCCATCCTTCCTCTCACCTTCGCAACCCACTATTCACACCTTCTCCGCGCCCACCTCTCAGCCAACGTCATTACCGGGATCCACTCGTGCGTCGGGTGTCTTCAACTCGGCGCTACCCATGTCCGATTCTCCTGCTCGCGGCAGCGTCGAGGACCTCCCTACTACACCTGCGGATACCGATGAGCCAGAGGTGCTCTTCTTAGCAGCCAGTCTCTTCGAATTCAATATTGCACACGATCGCCGTGAAGGCGGAATACCATATCTTGTGTACGTGCCAGGCGAGATATTCGATGTCATTGGTATGAAGGGTGAGCTATGGCTTGCGCGGAATCAAGATGATCAAACAAAGACAGTAGGATGGATTTGGGAAAAGCACTTTGCGCGCATTCTACCCGAAGATGCATAGTTCGGCTTCCAGCAGTTCATTTACCACGACGATCAGAATTTGCTCAACTTGGGTTTTATTGGGGGCGTTTTCGGCGAATGTGCCACCAACCCAGCGGCGTTGTGTGTGTGCGTCGTTCCTTGTCCGTTCTGGTTTCTTTTCTTATGTGATTCCCCAAACCCATCCTTCTTACCTTTCGAACTTCGACCAAACTCACTTTTTACGTTGGCCTTGTCCAAATACGCAAACTCTACGACTGCGCCTGCTGAGGCTGGGAGGCATTGCTGGCGCCCAATTTTGAGACCTACTTTCCTTGTATGTATTTACGAGAGAGATGATTTACAACACTTTCTGAGGGTTTTGTTCAATCTGGCATGATTGATGTGAGGTTTGGTTTATATTTGGCAGTGTCCTGTTTTTTTTTCGTTTCTTGGTTTGGAGAAGGGGTTTTCGTCGCATTAGTGTACAAATATGAACATTGAGAGGGTTTTGAATGAAGTGTTGTTCTGCATTGCAGCTACTATTCGGCAGGTGACAGTAGGTATTTATGACTGACGAGTGAATTTGATGGACTGAGCACAGATCTCATGTTAGCCCTCCAGATTCTACTCCTCCATTTCCGACCCAGTTTCAGAATCATCGTCGCCGTCGTCGCTACCTGACAGATCATCGTCATCGTCGTCATCCTCTTCGCCCTCCAGACCATATGCGTCTTGGAAGTCGGCAAGTTGCTTGATCTCAATCTTGAAGCCAGCGTCTTCGAAGTCTTTCTTGAGACCCTGTATAGAAATGTAAGCATCGTTTCGACACAAAAGGCAGAAGCAGGCGAGGAAGAACTTACGTCAGTCATAATACCACCACATGTCACGACCAGATCCGTCTTCTCAGGCACAAACACACCAGCTACAACCTCGTTCAAGATCTTCTTGACATCTTCTTCAGTCACCTTGCGCACCTCGCGAAGTGCCCAATCCTGCCAGTCCTTGCCAACACCACGCGTAACAAGATCAATAAAGGAGCTCCTAGCGGCATCGACAACAGTAGCGCGCTCATCGACAAAGTCACGCACGATACTAGAGATAGCACCTTCCAGCGCCAGCTTCTCAAACTCCTGCGTGCCATTGCCATACTCCTTGATGACCGTCTTGGCTTTGTTGTACGCGGCAAACACGTTGGGGGATTTGGAGATGCGGAATTTGAGCAGTCCTGTTTCGGGGTCACGGAAGAAGTTGCTGCCGTATGCGAGACCTGTGCCGCGGATTGACTGCCACATGGGGCCCTCGACAGCATCAAGATAGGCGAGTGCAACCATGAGGGGCGGAGTTGGGCATTTGTGTATCCCTTTGGTCCTTTGGATGTGAGAACTGCGAAGGAGGAGTCAATGGGCATGGGGATGATGTAGTGTGTGCCACCCGGATTGCGGCCGATATCCGATAGGAGCGCATTACGGTCGTCGATCGGGTTCACGGTTGGTTCTGGGCCGGGTTTGAAGGCTTCGGTGAGGTGTTTGAAGGTGGATACCGGGTTTGGCAGGGTCTCGAGGTTGGCGGTAACGAGGATGCGCATGTTGGAGAAAGTCAGTAGGTGTTTACGCAAGGCTTCGAGCTTGTCGAGAACCTGCTGAGGCTCCGTCTTGAGCAGCTTCAGGATGCGCTTGAGGTATAGGCCCTTCACAAGTGTTCCAGTCGCACGAACGGCTGACGCAGCATCGTAGTGGATCATGCGGTCGACTGCGAAGCTCATGGAATTACCGTCACGCTTCTCCTCAGGCACGTCGGCAAGCATCTTTTTGACAGCAGAAATGATGCGCTCAGTGTCGAACACAGAGTCGACGAGCATTGACCTCAACCATAAAACGACCGTCTCGAACTTGTCCGCTTCAGCGATGAAAGGGATGTAGATCATCTCAGAGCTTCCGATGTCGGTACCACGGTCCATGGAGTATTCAATGGTATCCTGCTCAAGCTTAGTGATAACCTCCTCGAACTCAATACGCTTTCCATCCTTCACGATAGGAGTGGCGAAGAAGTTGGTCAGATATACACCGAGCAGAGGCTTGAGTTCTGTTGGTAGTGATGCAGTTCCAAGGGCTAAGCCGAAATGCACAAAAGAGGTCGGTATATGCTCAAAGTGAATGAAGAGCGGGAGACCGTTCTCGTCCTTGTCAACAATTGTTTGAATGTTATTCTCCGAGGTGCCCAGCTTCTTCGCCAATCCAGAGCGTGCTGTGGTAGTCTCATAGAAGTGGATAGATTCGGTGCTTGGAACCTGAACACCGGCGATGATCTCTTCTGGGATGGGCTTGTCGTTTTCCTCTTGGGCTTCCTTGAGCTTCTGTGCGAGGTTCTCCAGTCCCTCTTCGCCCAGTTTTTCTTGTTGTGCCTTGACGCGTGCAACCTCATCTGCTTTGATCTTGTCTGAGAGTGCCTTGGAGGGCTTACCCAAAATGGAAACATGGTGAGCATCTACCATCCACTTGTTCAGGTACGCTCGCCATTCCTCCTCGGTCCATTTATCCAAGGTATCGAATACATCAAGAGTGGCCATCGCTTCTTCAAGGTGAGTTCCATTCCGGTCGCCAAAGACGTGGTCTTTGATGATCGGATCTTTGTACTCATCCATACCAATCTCAGACATGTATCGGGTTTGGCGCTTGAACCGATGGAGACAGTCTTTGAGGTAGCTCATGTCAAGCGGCTTGGAAGCGTGTTCTTTGAGGACTTCGAAGAAACGTTTCTCGGCATCTGCCAGCTTATCTGTCTCTACGGATGATAGGGTCCACCAAATGATCATATCGGTATGTCCTTTGCACCAAAAATAGACCATACTCGCAAGATGCTCTTTCTCGACGAGCGTGTTGACCAGGACTGAAACAGATGAACCAGCAAGGTAGTTGAGCAGTGTGTTGATGGCAGTCTCTCCAAGGTCATCGATGGTTTTAGGTCCCAGAAAGGCAATCTGAACCTCACCCGTTGATTCGTCCTCTTCTGGGAACTCGACTGTGTCGACGATAGTCTTGCTCAGCGGCGGAGTCTGCTTTGACTCGACCCATGGCCGCTTGAAGGGCGCATCGTAAGCCGGTACGCGATCAACAATCTGATCCTCGAACTTGTCTAGTACCTCCAAGAGATTTGAATGATCCACCTCTCCGATCAGTACAAGTCGTATGTTCTTGGGTTGATACATGTCTCGATGAAATTGGCGGATGCGCTCTGCGGTGGAAACTCGTAGATTCTCCATCAGACCACCTGTCTCCATACGGAAACCGTCGCCTTCAGGATAGAGGAGGCGGCGCATCTGGAGATCCATCAGATCACCCTGCAAGTTTTGACGCCCCTGCATTTCGGAGTAGACCACACTTGGGTCATTAGCAAATGGCGTACAAGTATTAAGTAGCACTCACCCTGCATCTTCTCCTTTGCCATCAACGTGATGTACCTCAGTGTAGCAGCCAGCATCGGTAAGCGTAGGTACAATGAGATGGTCTAAGTAGATGGGCAGTAGTTGGGCGAAGCCTTCCCAGCCTGCAGTTGAGAGAGTATACACTGTCTCGGAGACATCTGTCCACGCATTTGTGTCGGAGTACGATCGGGTGGCAATCTTGTCTAGTACACCCTTGAAAGGGTATTTCCGCGAGCCCATGAAGCAGAGATGCTCAAGGGTATGCGCTGGATCAGTTAGTAGAGCCGTGTTAGATACAAGCCAGGATACTTACGTGCACCCGAATCATCGTGAATCTCTGTGGCCACTGCAAAGTTGCCGTATACTTTGGGACCCTTTCGATCGACTACCACCACCCGAAGACCTGTTCGCTGCGATTCATACTGAGTGAACGTGGCGTCGGCATAATTTGCCTTGAATTGTTGCAGTTTCTTGAAATGCGACTTCTGCTGTATTGACCCCATAATGTCGAATTTGAAGGAGGGAGGGAACGTTAGAGTGAGATTTCTGGAATACACTTCTTCGTTGCTTAGGCTGCAGGCACAGGCCGCTCTGTCCGAATTGGTACTACCATTGTTGTGTTAGCTGACTTGCGAGACATATCTAGCAATGCATCGGTGCATTTGGGATGCAATACTAGCGCTTTGATCTAGATTTCTAATGTGATGGCAAGTATCAAGACTTACAAGAGGATAAAAAGAAGTACGAGTAGTAGGAAGCCACCCCGGATAAGGAACAAGGGAATGGTGGAGCGCAGGGCTGGAACAGGCGAGTTGTCCGGCAATAGTACTGCAGAGCCGCTAAGATTCTGCTGAATATACTACGTAGCCCTGACCCAAATTTGTCTTCTGCGATTGTCTTCAAACACACATGTGCTAGGTTCTTCAGTAGCCCACACAACTTGACCGTGGCGGGGTAAGTGTGGCGGGGCAGCGACGTACGAGTTGACGTCGCTTGGACGTCCGTGCAGCTTCAATGTTGGTCCTGCGACGTTGCGGCTGCCCTACGAACCAGCTCGCCCTTGTGCCCTTCCTGATATTGAAATGTCAATCGCCCCGTGATCACAAATGCCTTCGCAAGTTTCCGACGAGCAGCTAGGCGATGCGCTGCTGCAATCAGCCGCGCATGGGGCGTTTCCCCAGGACGAAGATGTCGCGTCTGCAACTGTACCTTCCAGCGCGCTTCCCAAGCTGTTAGAGGTGGTTGCTAAGGCACGAGAAGACACAAAGGTGTGTACACCTAGCATGCTTGTGAGTCAGCGCTGACTATTGTACCAGAACGAAGTACGCCAACTCTCAAGAGAAGCTGCTCCCGACGTCGATGGCTGGATAGCACAAGCACGCAAGCTGCAAGACGATATCAAACGCTCTCAGGAAACGGCCAAAGACATTGTAAAACAAGCAGAAGCTGGGAAAGAAAACACAGCTCGCGTCCAGGATGCTGCAAGCAAGGTCAGCCTGCTGCACACGGAGATTGCATACAATGAGAGCTTGGCACAAGCGGTAGAACAGCTGAGAGATATCTCGACATTGCTTGATTCTGCCCAGAGTGCTGCTGTGCATGGCCATGTCATGCATGCTATACAGACATTGGAGGATGCGGATGGCGCTTTCCAGAGACTGGGATCTTTCACGACCACGAGAGTAGTGGGTGTGTTGAAGAACAAGGAAGAGCAGCTGAAGAGAGCCATTGTGGAAACTGTGACGGAGTCATGGAACGGATTGATTTCGGTTGACAACACTAACCACAAGATCGCACTGCATCAATCTATCGAACGCGAAGCCAAGGTCGATATTAATACAACGGTCGAAGCGCTTACGAGACTGGGGCTCCTTGATAGCTTTGTCACCCGCTTGAGCCGTGATCTTGACAAAATCATAATCTTTCCCCGCCTTGCCATGGGTACCGACCGCGTCGTATCCGCATTTAGAATTCAAGAGGATGTCATCCAACGTGCAGGTCCGGTCAATGATGGTAAGGTAAAATCTACCTTGGAGGATATTCACTTGCTCGCCGAGTATCTGAGCACGCGCCTGCCGCCCAGCATCGCCGTCCCACTGTCATCCAAAGTTATTCCGATCGTCGCGTCTCGTCTGATATCGAACCTCCTTTTGCCTGCTGTGCCATTGTCCACAGATGAAATACCGCACTTTCAAGAGTCACTCTCATATGTCTTAGGCCTGGTGGAGTATCTCGATGAGCTTGGCTGGTCTGGTCAAAATCGTTTAGCTGAATGGGTGGATAAGTCTGCCGAGATATGGCTTGCTAAACAGAAAGAGGATGCGATTGCCCGAGTGCAAACGATGTTCCCGAAGAAAGTGCAAGAGAAAAAGACTGTTGAAAGGGTCGAGACGCAAGTCATTTCAAAAGGCGACGCGCTGCATGCTGGGAATGAACAAGAAGACGACTGGGCCGCTGACTGGGACGAGGAAGGAGAAGCCACAGAAGAGAAGAAAGAGACTATCGAAGAAGAAGACATGAGTGCCTGGGGTGAGGATGACGAGGTAGCTGATGACGAGTCGAAGGAGCAAGAGACCAAGGAAAAGCCAGCCGATGCAGAGGATGCCGATGATTGGGGTGCGGACTGGGATGACGAGACCGATACCAAACCCACTGCAACGCCGAAGCCTGCTGCAAATACGTCAGAGCAACCGAAAACGAATGGAAAAACTGCGTCCCAGAAACAACCGGCGCACCAGGAGGTCACACTTCGGGAGACATATACAGTGACGGCAATCCCGGATGCCATCATGGAAATCATCTTGCAGGTTATTGTAGAAGTAGACACGCTGAACTCACCGGAGCTCGTCAAGTCCGCGATCGCACCCGCAAGTGGAGGTCTATATGCCATTCCTAGTCTCCTCCTTGCGATGTACCGAGCTACTGCTGTGATGCATTACTCAAAAGATATTGCGAGTAACATGCTCATCTACAACGACTGCCAGCGGCTGTCGGATCGTTTGCAACTCTTCCTTCAAGAACAAGCTGAGAAAGATAAGACATCTACGTTGCCACAGCATTTGCAACCGTCCAGACGTCTCAAGCCGATGCTCGAATCTGATATCAAGACAATTGACGGATTCGGAAAGCGTGCATATGGACGCGAGATGGAGTCACAAAGACAAATCATTAGGGATCATCTGGAAGATGCGCAGGGCTTCCAGGGCTGTACTAATGTACCCTTTGCTACAGTCTGTGATGACGCTATCGCCACGACCATTGATCGCATAGGTGATGTGAAGCGACAATGGCAGAATGTCCTCTCACACAGCGCCCTGCTTCAGTCACTTGGCTCGTTAGTATCAGCTGTACTTACGAAGTTCATCAACGATGTCGAGGACATGTCAGATATTGCGGAAGACGAGTCCAGAAAGCTACACGGATATTGTGTTTCACTTGCTACTCTATCCCAGCACTTCCAGACCGAAGATGGTAACGGGGAGACGAGAGACATGGCCGGCATCTATACGCCCAATTGGTTTAAGTTCCAATATCTGAGCGAGATTTTGGATAGCAGCCTCGCGGATATCAAATATTTCTGGACCGATGGCGAGCTGAAGTTAGAGATGGAGGCTGAAGAGGTGGTAGGCTTAATTGAGGCCCTGTTCGCGCCTAGCGACCATCGGAGGAGAGCTATTGCAGAGATCAGGAGAACCAGTATGACATAATGAAAGGATATTGGGGGAGCAGAGCTATGCTCCCTCTTGAGCAAGTTCATGTTCTGCTAAACATGTGATGACCCTAGTCTAAAAGCACTATTCTGCGTCGAACACAAAGTGCTGCAGGATTCCTTGACTGATTATAATAAAACTTGAGTAAGCTCGATAACTGTGAGATGTAGAAGTCCTACAACCTGCAATACTACACGAGCGGAGGTTTGCGAACGCCGACTGGTTGGTTTTCACCGCGCTAACCGCATTCGAAAAAAAGTTCGAGATCCCAAAATTTCCAAAGCTTCACAACTTCAACACCAACCAACATATACCTCCGAACCCGCCGACACCATGGATATCGACGCAACAGAAACCAAGGTGCAGATCCGTCTTACTACGCGCGATGCTAGCCTGCAAATCTCGGAGGAGCCGAACATTCTTTTAGTTCAGACATGTAAGTAGAATTATCGCAGGCCTAATCGCTTGTCGCGGCCTCCTGTCATGTGCTGCAACACGTTTGCGCATGCCTTGTGAGCCGTCGCGACCATAATACCGTGGTTTTATACTGCCAATGTCTTCGCAACTCTTTTGACACTGAGGCTAATGCAAATGCGCCCCCAGCTCTGACACGACACAAGCTTTCGACACTTGTGAACGAACTTCTACACCGCGATGACGACAGTCGCATACCGTTCGACATCCTGATCAATGGCGAATTTCTCCGGTCCACAATCGACGAGTTTCTTACCAAGAATGGTATCAATGCCGAGTCAACGCTGGATGTTGAATACACGAGAGCTTTGGTGCCACCTCTGAACGTCACGAGCTTCGAACACGACGACTGGGTTTCTGCCGTGGATATCTTGTCAGGGGTGCAAAGCGGACAAGAGAGAATACTGAGTGCGAGTTATGATGGACTGTTAAGAGTGTGGAACACTTCAGGTGATGTTTTGGCAACTTCCGAAGCTCCCAACAACGGCGGTCGCGTCACGAGCTTGAAGACGGCTAAGTGGTTGTCGGAGAAGAAAGTGGTGGCTGCGGGCTTGGACAACACTGTTCGTGTTTACAAGTACGACGATGATACGCGAACCATTACGACGGCTCTCGAACTCTTCAACCATCGCTGGGGTGTCGAAGACGTCGCGGTTCACGCTCCCTCCAGCCGTATTCTCTCCGCCTCTTCGGATACCACTATTTCACTTTTCTCGAGCAACGCAAAGGAAAACCCGGTTGCACCGCCAAACTTCCTGCCGAGCTCAAATGCTGCCTCCAACAAGCGACAAAAGCTTTCCAAGCCCGATCGCACGGTTCCCGCTCGTGGAGCGCTGGCTACGTTTAGCGGTCATAGTTCGCCGGTATCTAGCGTCATCTTTAAGCCGGATGATGCTACAGTCGCATACTCAGCATCTCATGACCATACACTCAAAACCTGGGATCTCCCTACTCAGTCGTGCGTTGACACCCGCACGACTGGTCATTCGCTTCTCTCTCTATGCGCCATTCCTTCCCGAAACCTTCTTGCAACTGGTACCTCAGCACGACACATCACATTGGTCGATCCCCGTGCGTCCGCTACGCAAATCAGCGTTATGACACTACGAGGCCACAAGAACGGTGTTGTTTCCTTGGACACAGATCCTTCCTCCGAATACAACCTGGCTTCTGCTTCGCACGATGGAACAGTTCAGATTTGGGACCTCAGGAATGTCAGTACAGGCGGACAGGTTGGAGAGGGAATGACTGGTGAGAGCGTATACACCATCTACAGGCAAGGACGCGATACTGCCAAGAGCCATGGTGAGGGCGCCAAGGTCTTCAGCGTACGGTGGGATCGCGCCGTGGGCATCGTTTCGGGTGGCGAGGATAAACGAGTGCAGATTAACCGCGCTCTCGGCTCATAAGGGTTGGAAGTCCGCGCTGGTAGAAGGGCCGTTACAAGGGTGTTCAGGCGCATATCGTAGATACCATTTTGGCTAGGGAAAAGTGTAGCTTCAATTCTTAAGCGCGTTGCCCTCCATCAACTTTGACTTGACTCTGGCGATGCTTCTGCAGTCGAGATGGGTCGCGAGGACCTGCATACTCTTGTGCAATACAGCACTTTTCCCATATAAGCAGATGCAATCAGACGGGTATCAAATAGCAGCCTCCACCATGCAGCTGCATTCCTTCATCTCGCCACATGCCTCTCTCCGCTGATGCACAGCGTGCATTCCAGTGCCCATGGCCCTCATAGTCTCATACTCCATACCCAGTCTAGACGTATCGCAGACTGCTAGTTGCGACCACAACCTCCAGGCTGACACATCCCCCTAGCACACTCAACTATCTAACCAAAAACCTTGTGCATAGCATCCCAAGCTCACTCATACCAAGTGCCCTGGCAACAGGAAATTCGCAACCCCCTCTTTAACTGCATACTCATGCTCACACGCCCCACACACCAGCTTACCCTCTTGTATACACGTCTCGAGCAATATCCTGTGTAGATCTTTGGCTGTCTGGCTAGGCTCCTCTTCTACTTCTTCGGTTGCTGTTGCTGGTGTCGCATCCGTGGTATCTAACGCGGAGGCAGAGGTAGAAGAAGGTTCGACAAGGTCGGCGGGCGTGGGTGCTGTTGTTGGTAGTTCAGGGAGACCGAGCTATAATTCACAGATCTATTAGCCTTCGTTTCGCAAGCCGTATCTCTCTTTTGCGCAACCAACGCGCAGACCTCGTGTCTGTTGTTTCCTTGTTTCCGCATCTATTGGACTGGGGGCGTCGCGTACCTCGCTGCATATTCCCCTCAATTCGTTCCACATCAGCCTTGGCAGTATGTTCTTGAGAAAGGCCAAGTTGACGTCTGCTTCTACGATTTCGAGTTCGGCGTCGCGGGGGTGTAGGGGGAAGGATGCGGGGTTCGTTTTGCAGGTTTTTATGGCGCAAGTGAGGAAGTTCAAGGTGAGGAGCTTCATATTGTGGTTTTTGATGACAAAGATCGGATCTTGCAAGGCGTTTGGCGCTCTAGGGTTTCGTGTGCTGTTGTGGAGTGGAACGGTTTGGTCGACAAGTTTTGGCCGGCGGGCTTTGCGACGAATAAATTTTGGCGCGGTTGCGAGGGTTGGGTCATTGGTGGGGTAGAGAGCGCTAATGCAGGGCTTAAGTTTATGCTTAAGTTCCCATCTGGATCGTCGTCAGGCCGCTTTCATTTTGCTTCCACTGAATGTCTGTGGTAGTTGCTATCCGTCTGCACCATAGATTTATGAAAATATGTTCGGTTCAGGAACAGTGGCTGTAACTATCTCAATCACATCACGTTGCTCGAGATAGCTATTCTTTCTACGACACAACACCAATACCTGGCCTACCACTTCCCTACATCCTCCAACACCAGATCCGTCGCCCTCTCACTCAACAGGAACGTACTGACCGCCGGAAATGCTCCAGGACACCTGGGAAACGCACTCGCATCTACAACACGTAGTCTCTCTACTCCTCTCACCCTCAATCTCGTATCCAATACAGCCAAGGGATCAGAGTCCGGTCCAACTTTATTCGTACTCGTAGGATGGTGACCGAAAACCTGGTCTTGAATCCACTCCTTGTCAACCTGCACATCGCGACAATAACCCGTGTCAAGGATGTCTGCAGGCGGACAAGGGGGAGAAACAGGGGTTACAGGCCCAACCGGTGCTTCAGTCGAAGCAAAAGCTCTGCGTACGAAAGCGACAGTGTCGAGCATGGCGTTGAGATCTGTTTCTGCGCCCTCGGCGAAGTAGTTTAAGTTCACTTCTGGTGTATCGACTGGGTCTGCTGACTGGATCTGAACGTAGCCTGCAGTGTTCTGGGGGTGGATTTTAACTGTTGACCAGGAGAATGTGGTGGGAGGGTAGCCTGTGAGGTTTGAAAGTTGTGTAGGGGGACTGAAACCGGCGAATGCGCCGCCTGTGCTGGCAAACATGAGCTCGTCTCTCTCGCCTTCGACCGCATGAGATGTTTTGATGAGGAAGGCGTTTGAGTTTGAGCCGCCACGCGAATAAGGACCTTCGCCTTTGTACCAGAGATCGAGACACGGATCGCCTGGTGCACCATATGTGCATTGGGGAGCATCGGGATTAGGCGCTGCCGCGAAGCTGACCTGAGCATTACCGTAAATAGGTATCTCGTAGTTATCTTGAAGGTTGCGGCCAACGCCTGGTAAGTCAGAGACTACGGAAATATTGTATTTCGCGAGGAGGGCTTTGGGTCCGATGCCAGAGAGTTGCAGAATCTGGGGCGAGTTGAATGTGCCACCGGCTACAATGACTTCCTTTCGAGCAAAAGCTTGATGTAGTGTGCCTGTGGTGGAAGCATTGCGGCGTGGGTCAGCCTTGTATACTGACTTGCCTTGAAGGTATTCGACTCCAACTGCACGCGGCTTTGTACCATTACCGCTGCAGTCGTCAAATAGCACCTTTGTGGTCAAAGATTCAAGCTGGAGATGAAGCGGGTATTTCAGTGTTCCATTCGCATTCGTCAGATTACGCGCTTCCAGAATACGGTCGCGTGGACTGAAGCGCTTCCAGTTCGGTGTGACATGGAAGGGTAGGGACCACAGACCCTCTGACTGGTCACGCGTTGGATCCAGATAGTTAGCATCGCTGGTGAGATAGTCCAGAACCTTTGCTGGATCCTTTCCAACCATTTTCAATGCCGCTTCGAAGACCTTGAATCGGAGTGTTGCGGCCGCATGGGTAGCACGGTCAGCGATGTTTGTTTGCAACCAACCTGTGAACCCGTGACCAGGAGTCCCTTCTTCGAGATAGTTATTATGCTCGATCTTCTCGAAGTATTCGCGCATCAGTTTAGCGCTATAGGAATGTTAGTATCGTCTTGGATAATGAGACTTGCTAACGGTTTACCTCCAAATTCCATCTTCCACTCCCTTGTCAAAGAAGTCCCAATCGCTGTCACTCGGCAGAAATGTGCCTGCTGCATTGATGATTGCGCTTCCACCCAGCGTAGCCTACACGTCGGTATACCAAGTCAGCATATCTATC